GTCCATGATATGTGCAATACTTCTCACCAGCACCACAACTCAAAGTTATCAATTCTCCTTCTATCATCCCTAGTCATTGTCCAGCTCTCTGATGCATAGGAAATAATTGCAAAGTTCGTGGCCTGGATCAGACACACCTTAGTCTCTAGACTGAGGCTCATGTTTATAGTTTCCATTCATGTGGTTGAAAACACATAATTTTTTTTGCAAACAATAATTTGTTACTTTAAAAAATTCTGTCATAGGATTTTGTGTCATTTATTTCACTAAGAATGTATTTTCCAACAGCTTACACATCCTTTTTCTCCAAATTTCACATAGTAATCCCAAGTCATTATCAATATAATTGGATATTTGATTATTTTCAGACTGGGGAGATAGATAAATAAGTTTAATTTCTTCATCTTTGGCATTAGCATTTAGTGTGCAAACTGGAAATAGTTGTATTATTATCCAATTTCTGACAGAAATACTTAAGAATAAATCTTCAAATATTCTTTTTCAATAATGAATGCTACATTGTGCCTCTTCAATTTGTCATTTTCAGTGTAGAAGACTACATATAATTGTCCCATTTTGAGTGGCCAAAAAAGTAAATTTCAAATGACTAATTCCTAAGATATTTATCTTCAAACATTTAATTTAATTTTTAATTACTTCCAATTTCCTAGATTCATACTTTGTATATTCTTGTCGAATTGATACTGGATGTTTGTTAATGTATATTCTCATTTTAAATTGTGCCACATTAGTAAATGGATATCCTCAAATCTTTACTCCATCCATGTCATTAAGTTAGATTCTACCTTAAGACAGCACTCCTCCACAGTCATAATTTTATTATCTTTCAACTCTACAGGCTCATTTTCAAGCACTGTCTCAGACAATGTTTTGCTGTTTTCTCTAAGGTTTCACTGGTCATTTCGCCTTCTCCTCCACACCCTGCCCTGAAATATAACTCTATTTATTTATTCTTTTTCCTATCATGTCTTCATCTAGAAGCTCTGTTGAAACTTCCTCTTATCTGTAAGCTTTCACTGCTGTAATGGCTTTTGAGTAGCTGTGCTGATGCCACCAGTATTTTAGATACCAGCAGATTTACCTTTGACGGGTAATTTTCAAAAGAACTTCCAGACTAAGAAAAGCACCAACATAACCTACTACCTCCAGTTGTTCTGACTCATTGTGACTGAAACTCCACTGAGTTTCCAAGGCTGTAAATCTTTACAGCAGAAATGTTTCCATCTTTCTCCCATGGAGAGCTTGGTGGATTCAAACCATCATTTCAGTTAGTGACACAACTTACAACACACTATGCCAGCAAAGCACCTTCAGAGGAGCATGTTGTTGTGTACTGTCGAGTTGGGACTGACCTATAGCTGACCCTCCGGTGGGTTTTCAGAAGCAGTTAATCACACAGGAGGAGACAGCCCATCCTTCTCCTGTGGAGCAGCTGGTGGCCTTAAACCACGTGCCTTCAGGATTGCAGCACAGCTTATTAGGACTATAAACAATTTTATATCCTTTATGATCTTCTGAAGGGAGCTCTGGCGGCCTAGTGGCAAGAAGCTGAACTACAATCCTGAAGGCTCATGGTTCGAGGCCACTAGATGCTCTATAGGAGAAGGATGAGCAATCTCCTCCCGTGTGATTAAATGCCTCTGAAAACCCACTGGAGGGTCAACTATGGATTAATTCCAACTCGACAGTACACAACAACAACAATGTTCCTCTAAAGTTGCCAGCAAAGCTCCTTCAGAGTAGCATAGAGGGTATAAAATTCTGTACAGTCCTAATATAAAAAAATAAAACAAAAAAATTCTTTAAATTCATTGCTGTTTTTGAGATTACAAATTACACTGGAAGAGATTTCTCATCATTCTACCATGAAGTCTTTGGTGGGTTTGAACTGCCAGAGAGGTATACAGTTAGCAGTGCAAATTCTTAAGGACCATACTACTCAAACTCCTTATAAGTCCAATGGTTATTGTTGTTTTAGAGGCCATTGATTCAATTATGACTTATAGTTACACTATGAACAACAGATTTGAATCCTGTCCTATCCTGTGCCATCCTTATTATCTGATACACTTGCACCCATTGCTGCAGTTACTGTGTCAATACCGTTCATTGGAGCTCTTCCTTTCTTTTGTTGACCCTTCACCTTTCCAAGCAAGATATCCCTTTCTCCTAGCATGATGTCCATTGTATGAGAGATGAAGTTTCACCATTCCCCAATAGTGAGGGTTAATTATAGAAACAATTACCTGCCACTGGAAGAGGAGTAAGGAAAAGGGATGATGTATTCAGGAGAAAGCTAGGTTTTAGTCAGAGAGTATTGATGAAGTAAATATTCAAAGGCAAGGCGATGAATATAAAGGAATTGATGGCGACACTTGATGGGTTTATGAGTAGTAGTTACCCCACAAACACTGAGTTTGGTGAGGAATGAGATAAACAAATATTTCTGGCCTTATGGAATTAGTTGTAAGGGCAGTTTAGGTGCCTCAAATAGTAATCTTAATTCGTGGGAATGATTTTTATGTGGTCAGCAGTAAGAAGCCACAGTGCAATCCCAAAGGCACAGTTTAAATTTACAAGTTGCTCAGCAGGAAAAGAGTGAGTAGTATCATCCTGTGTGATTTACTGTGTCTAAAAACCCACTTGAGGATCACCTCTCAGTAAGTTCTGACTCAAAAGCACACAACAGCAACAACAATGAGACTGAGCATACTAGAATGTGCATTGTGGGGAGGGTATAGATATTAGCGCTTTCATTAAAGCTTATTGTTATTTACCATTGAGTTGGGACCGACTCATAGTCGACCTTCCTGTGGGTTTTCAGAGGCAGTTAATTGCACTGGAGTTGATTGCCCATCTTTCTCCTATGGAGCGGCTGGCAGATTCAAACTGAGTACCTCTGGGTTGACAGTGTAATTGCTTATCAGTAGGCGACCAAACCTCCATGTTATTGTTGTTGTTGCTGTGTATCGTGGAGTCAGAATCAACTCATAGCTGACCTTCCGGAGGGTTTTAGGGGTGGTAAATTGTAAAGGAGGAGATTGTCCATCCTTTTCCTAAGGAGCAGCTGGTGGATTTGAATCTCATGCCTTGCATTGCAACACAGCTTCCTACCACTAGGTCACCAGAG